CTAGGAACAAACAATCTCATGCCTGCTCCCTGGAAACTCTTAGGCTCCTCGTACAGATCTTGTTCATCGCAGAGGTTGCATTTGCTTCAAGAAGTACCACGCAGCCATTTCCAAGGGCCAAATGTCCAATTTGTCATGATCCTGGGCACAACTGCATCGAACAGGCTAATGATGCTTTCAGAGCTTCAATTGCTGCGGTCGCCGCTTGATGCAAGCGGCTTGGAGCAGGAGATAATTGCAAGAGAGGAATTATGATGATAGTCAGCTCCGCCGCCGTGTCCTTCAAGCTCTAGAAAAGTCACAGCAGTTTGCTCAAAATCCCATCAAACGGGGTTTGTTTTGCACCTGCTGTGCCTATTAAAAGGTGTTTGTGATTTTCGGATGAGATCAGCACACAGAGAGGGACTGATACGCGTCCCACAAAAGTAGACATGACGGATGGCTGCTCCAAGCGAGCATAGATGTATCAAGTACCGCATGATTATACAGGTCTCTTAAGAGCACTTCACAGTTATTTTTTATATGTACACCTGAAAAAGAATATTCTGGTAGATTGCATGTAGATGTTTGCACCCTTGAGCGATTCTTACCTGGCTGGAATGTTTCACTGAACTGTGATAATACAGTAGTACCTCAGGTTACGAACTTAATTCATTCTGGAGGTCTGTTCTTAACCTGAAACCATTCTTAACCTGAGGCGCGCTTTCGCGAATGGGGCCTTCCACTGCCACTGCACCACTGGCCCCCGATTTCCATTCTCATCCTGGGGCAAAGTTCTCAACCTGAGGTACTACTTCCAGGTTAGCGGAGTTTGTAACCCAAAGCGTTTGTAACCCGAGGTACCACTGAATCTCTTATGTGTCTGGATGAAGGACAGAGGGTTGTGTCTGGTCACACCAACTTTCGTCACACCCAGCACTGATATGCGACCCCTGGAAGGCTTTCCACAGTGGAATGTGGCCCTCCAACGGCCCTGCAGATCTTTTTTTTCATGATTTTCAGTTTTGTACATCTCAATAATTTGACAATCATTTTAACATTTCAAAGCTTGACTTCCTCCCCCCTCTTTCTGCGGTTCCTTAAATTTATTTATTTTTATTTTCTGCATATTCCAAATCAACTTAATTTAATCATTTTTTCTTCTACTTTAAGTATATACTCTTATAAAACTGCAGGTTATTACAATAATCCTGCCAATGTTCTTATCTGTTTACAGTTTTTTTTGGTAAATATTCAATATACCATTTCCATTTTATAAAAAGTTTGTTGTCTTGATTTCTTATTTTTCCAGCAAGTTTCACCATTTCTGCATATTCCATAAGTTTTTGTCTTCGTTCTTCTTTCGCTGGGACTTCTTCTTTCCATTTTTGGGCCAGTAACATTCTTGCCGCTGTAGTCACACGCATGAATAAATTTCTATACAGTTTAGGTAGTTCTGTCCCTATAATTCCTAAAAGGAATACCGTATTTTTTGCTCTATAAGACTCACTTTTTCCCTCCTAAAAAGTAAGGGGAAATGTGTGTGCGTCTTATGGAGCGAATGCAGGCTGCGCAGCTATCCCAGAAGCCAGAACAGCAAGAGGGATTGCTGCTTTCACTGTGCAGCGATCCCTCTTGCTGTTCTGGCTTCTGAGATTCAGAATATTTTTTTCTTGTTTTCCTCCTCCAAAAACTAGGTGCGTCTTGTGGTCTGGTGCGTCTTATAGAGCGAAAAATACGGTACTTCTGGGTTTTTGTTTTTTACAAACGTTATTTTAAATATCTTTTTCAATTCATTATATATCATTTCCTCTAGATCTTATCCCTACATGATATAATCGCTTTGAGACACGTTGGTGTCAATAGCAACAAATAAGTGTAACAAATAACACATTTGCTACCTTTCCTTCATCCAAGAAGCTGAGGCTGCAATCTTACCACCTCTTATGCCACAAGCCAGTGTTCAGCAACCCCATTGGTGGAGCAGAATGTTTGGCAGAACTCAGGCTAGGACTGCAAACTTGTTTCCAGCATAATCTTATGCTCCTGAAAAAAATGAAGCACCACATGTAGTTTTCAGGTCATAGGTAAAGGGACCCCTGACCATTAGGTCCAGTTGTAACCGACTCTAGGGTTGCGGCGCTCATCTCGCTTTATTGGCCGAGGGAGCCGGCATACAGCTTCCGGGTCATGTGGCCAGCATGACTAAGCCGCTTCTGGCGAACCAGAGCAGCGCACGGAAATGCCGTTTACCTTCCCGCTGGAGCGGTACCTATTTATCTACTTGCGCTTGACATGCTTTCGAACTGCTAGGTTGGCAGGAGCAGGGACCGAGCAACGGGAGCTCACCCCGTCGCGGGGATTCGAACCGCCGACCTTCTGATCGGCAAGTCCTAGGCTCTGTGGTTTAACCCACAGCGCCACTCGCGTCCCACTTTAAGGTCATACCTGATACCTTTTAGCAGGCATATTCTGGCCCTTGTTTCTTTAAAGAAGATGAACAGGCCTCGGTTAACTTCCTCTGGTGCCACCTCTGGGGTTGCCAACAATTGGAGGAACCTGTCATGAACATTGCCACCTTTGGCCGACCCCTACGCCTCTGTCACCTGCTGCCCCCCAGCTCCTTCCCTTTCTCCGTAATATCCCAGGCCCTTCCCTCTCCCCTTCCCCCCCGTTAATATTTTATAAAGTGGAACTTATGAAAAATTCAAATTGACTCTGGGAATCGTCTTGCTCCATTTAACAAGGGTGACGGCATGTCTGGCTCCCCTCCCAGGCCCAGGCAGATGAGGGGCTTTTTGGCATCCCGGCTGGGGCTTCGCTCACGTGAGGCCCGGTGGCCGAGGCGATTGGCGAGGACGCCGCGTCGTCGGGGAGATTTGCAAGGCTGTTGCGAGGCAAAGCGTGGCAGGGGACCCAGATGGCTGCGGGGAGGGTGGGGGGAATTGGGGAGGTGGTCTCCGGAGCTGGGCACTTCTTGCTGGACAAGACGCAAAGAAAGCGTCACTATGTCTTTTTCATCTCCTAAGTGCTCGACTGTTCTCAGCTTATATATCTTTGTGGGCAGCAAGGAGGGGGTGGCGGCTAAGTGGTCGTTTTCAACTGCGAAAGGCTTCCTCAATGCTAAACAGCAGAGTAGGTAGGTAAGGATTAGTGGAGCTATTCTGAAGGACCCTCCAAGTGCCCCTGTTTTCCAGGGATAGTCATGGATTTACAGAAGCCGTCCCAGTTTCTGACTTGATCCCAGAATGTCCCGCTTTTCCTTAGGACGTCTCTATTTTCATCAGAGAAATGTTGGAGGGTATGGAGTTATGTGACACCCCCCCCCAACCAAGGAGATAAGTACTGTATTTTTCGCTCTATAAAAAAATATTCTGAATCTCAGAAGCCAGAACAGCAAGAGGGATTGCTGCGCAGTGATCGCCTCTTGCTGTTCTGGCTTCTGGGATAGCTGCACAGCCTGCATTCGCTCCATAAGACGCACACACATTTCCCCTTACTTTTTAGGAAGGAAAAAGTGAGTCTTATAGAGCAAAAAATACGGTAATTATGTTCAACCTTTAGAAGACATCTGGAGGTAGCCCAGCAGAGTGAAGTTTTTTTAAAATGTTGAATGTTTTATTACGTATTTACAAACAGTGGTACCTTGGGTTAAGAACTTAATTCGTTCCGGAGGTCCGTTCTTAACCTGAAACTGTTCGTAACCTGAGGTACCACTTTAGCTAATGGGGCCTCCCGCTGCCACCGCACAATTTCTGTTCTCATCTGGAAGCCAAGTTCTTAACCCGAGGTACCATTTCTGGGTTAGTGGAGTCTGTAACCTGAAGCATCTGTAACCCGAGGTACCACTGTAAATGTAGGAAGCTGCACAGAGTGATCTGCCCAGTCAGATGGGCAGAGTATAAATAATAAAATTATTATTATTGAATAAGATGTCCCTATTTTCATCGGAGAAATGTTGGAGGGTATGCAATGGGCACCAGCTACTGTGTTATGGTGTCTTTGTAACAACAGGAAGCTTCTGTATATCAAATCCAACATTGGTCTATCTAGGTCAATATTATCTAGGTTGATCGCCAGTGGCTTCCCAGGCTTTCAGACAGGAGTCTGGAAATGCGAGGAATTTGACCTGGGACGTTCTGCTTGCTCTGACACTGTGCTGCAGCTCTCCCCTAAAAAACAACAACACCCAGTGTGCTTATCAACTTACAAGTTGGACACAGGGGTTCCTGGACCCATTTGAGGGCCTAACAGAAGAAGCGTCTAGGCTCTCCCCATAGCATTGGGGCAGGGCAATGGTTTTAAGTCTCTGCTATAGGGGTCTGACGCGGGTGGCGCTGTGGGTAAAACCTCAGTGCCTAGGACTTGCCGATCGCATGGTCGGCGGTTCGAATCCCCACGGTGGGGTGAGCTCCCGTCGTTCGATCCCAGCTGCTGCCCACCTAGCAGTTCGAAAGCACCCTTAAGTGCAAGTAGATAAATAGGTACCGCTTTATAGCGGGAAGGTAAAAGGCATTTCCGTGTGCTGCGCTGGTGCAGGCTCGCCAGAGCAGCTTCGTCACACTGGCCACGTGACCCGGAAGTGTCTCCGGACAGCGCTGGCCCCCGGCCTCTTAAGCGAGATGGGCGCGCAACCCCAGAGTCGGACACGACTGGCCCTTACGGGCAGGGGTACCTTTACCTTTATAGGGGTCTGAGGGCCAAAGCTAGATAGCCAGGTCAGTCATGCCCCTCTTTAGCATATGTTCAACCAGCTTGCAAAGACAATGAGAGTGCTGTATCTTATTTCATGCACAAAGAGAAGGGGAGCCAAACCCAACACCCACCCCAGCCTTATCTCATTGGGCTTTGCTGTTTTTAAGTAGTTCCCTGCCCCCCAGTCTGGTTCCAATTCTAGACATCTGCTGGGCATGGAGAAAACTGCTTAAAGCATCTGACCTCTCATTTTCCCCTCGTTGATTATGCAACGCTGAACAATCCTCATACCAAAGTGTGACCTACTTCCCTCCACCTCCCCAACCGCAAATAGCTCAGTGGTAGAGCATCTGCTTTGAATGACAAAGGTCCCAGGTTCAAGCCCAGGGATCTCCAAATAGGACTGGGAATGTCTTCTGCTTGAAAACCTGAGCAGCCTCTGCATAGGCCTGAATGTTTGAGTTTTGTTTGTAGCGATGCAGAGGCGCTTTAAAAAATCAGAATCCGATCTCCCATGTGTTCATGCGTTGCCATGATTTATATCAGGGGTTGTCAACCTGGTCCCTAACACCCACTAGGGGGCATTTCAGGATTCTAGGTGGGTGGTAGAGGGCTGCACATGCTGACTCCTCCTTCCATCAAACACTGGTGTGCAGTAAGGAAATTTTACCATCAAGAAAGATGCATTAGTGGGCAGTAGGTATAAAAAGGTTGACTACCCCTGATTTCTGTCACTGCAGCAAATTTAAAAAGGGGGATTCCAATCACGGTTAATTACCCCATTTTTCGCTCTACAAGACGCACCAGACCACAAGAAGCACCTAGTTTTTGGAGGAGGAAAACAAGAAAAAAAATATTCTGAATCCCAGAAGCCAGAACAGCAAGAGGGATCGCTGCGCAGTGAAAGCAGCAATCCCTCTTGCTGTTCTGGCTTCTGGGATAGCTGCACAGCCTGCATTCGCTCCATAAGACGCACACACATTTCCCCTTACTTTTCAGGAGGGAAAAAGTGAGTGTTATAGAGCAAAAAATACGGTACTTTGCATTTGCCAAGTGCTTCTGGACATTCAAAACACTTCACACACACGAATGGGCCACGGCCGTTACAACAGCCTTGCAAAGTCAGCCAGCGTTATTATTCCCCTATTGCAGTCGGAAGGCCTTGGGTTGGGAGAGTGTGGCTGGCCCAAGGCTTCCTGGTGAGTTTATGAATGAGGAAAGATTCAAGATGGAAGAGTCTGAGTTCATAGCTTCGTTTCTTAGCCACTGAGTATTGCTAGCTCTCAAGTTCCGGCAGCCATACAGTCATTCTTCCACATGGAGGCACCAGTTCTCATCAACGGTGCCCCCATTTCAGTATTGCTGGACCAAGTCTGCCATCAATGTTCTTTGGGCAGTAGAGATTTAGGATTGCCACAGGGTTACATCAAGCTTTGCAGTGTGATGTAAGTGTGGTGTGGAGAGTGTGGAGTGTAAGTGTGGTGTGGAGTGTGGAGAGTGTGGAGTGTGGAGAGCCAGTGTGGTGTAGTGGTTAAGAGTTCGCGTCTCTGCTCCTCCACATGCAGCTGCTGGGTGACCTTGGGCCAGTCACACTTCTTTGAAGTCTCTCAGCCCCACTCACCTCACAGAGTGTTTGTTGTGGGGGAGGAAGGGAAAGGAGAATGTTAGCCGCTATGAGACTCCTGAAGGGGAGTGAAAGGCGGGATATCAAATCCAAACTCTTCTTCTTCTTCACTAGAGTTGAGTTCTGCAGTTCCGTCAAACTTGCAGTGCTTACTCCAGTGACTTTGTCAGATCTGCTTTGTTTGCTTCTGGCATTTTTGTACTCCTCAAATAACTATACTATCCGTATTTTCAAGGCTCCTCCAAATGACCTATATATGGAGCATTCTTCTAGGTTTCCTTGCCCAAAGTTTACCTGGAGGTTATATTACATATGGCATTTATTGAGCATTCATTCCGATTTGTTTTCAGGGAAGTTACACCACAATTAGCAGTCATCCTGTGTTCCTGATTTGCTTGTGGGGTATTTACTCATGTTCTTGTTGTCCATTCATCTCACGCTTTTCAATGCATTTCTCATCACTTTCAAAACTCCCAAACTCCAGTTGTTGTTGTTTTGGGGGGAAAGGGGGGGATTTGTTCGGTGAGGGCAACAGAGTACTTTAATTCCCTTCTAAACGTGCAAACCTGAATTTTTGGTGTGGCTGAATCACTCTTGGAAAATGCTAACAGTTTGGTAGCGCGCTCAGTCCCACATTCTCAGTTGTCATGGTATTTTGACCCTTTTGAGACATATCGCTTCCTGCAATCTTGTCCCACCAACCTTGTGATACAGGAATCTCATATCAAGTCAGATTGTTTGTCCAGCTGGCTCAGTATTGCTTAGGCCAATTTGGTAGCAGCTCTCTAATTTCTCAGGAAGAGGCCATTTTCCATCTTATGCTGGTACCTGACCCTTTTAACTGGCCTTTTTTTAAACTGCTACGGACACAGCCTAGGAATGTCTATGTGCAAAACATGCAATCTATCACTGAGCTATGGCCCAATCACCCCAAATAACTTATTATTACCCCGACCTGGCCACAGTGATCCATGCAATGGTCATCTCCAGGCTTGACTACTGTAATTCGCTCTACGCGGGGCTGCCCTTGAAGCTGTCCCAGAAACTCCAGCGGGTGCAGAATGCTGCAGCGAGGCTCCTCACGGGGTCTCTGCCATGGGAGCATATTCACCCAGTGCTTTTCAAACTGCACTGGCTCCCGGTAGAGTACAGGGTCAGATTTAAGGTGCTGCTTTTGACCTTTAAAGCCCTTCACGGCCTAGGACCCTCGTACCTACGGGACCGCCTCTCCCGGTATGCCCCACGGAGAGCCTCAAGGTCCATAAATAGCAACACTCTAGTGGTCCCGGGCCCTAAGGAAGTTAGATTAGCCTCAACCAGAGCCAGGGCCTTTTCAACTCTGGCTCCGGCCTGGTGGAACGCTCTGTCTCATGAGACCAGGGCCCTGCAAGATCTGATTTCTTTCCGCAGGGCCTGTAAGACAGAGTTGTTCCGCCTGGCCTTTGACTTGGAGCCAGTTTGATTCCCTCCCCGTCTTTCTTTTTTCTTTTCCTTCTCCTCCTGCGATGAGGCCACATTTTAATATTTTAATGTTTCAATATTTTAATGTTGTCTTTTAATTTTGTTTTTAAGTTGTAATCATTCAACTTGTTTTTATTATTGCTTGTAAGCCACTCTGAGCCCGGCCTTGGCCGGGGAGGGCAGGGTATAAATAAAAATTATTATTATTATTATTATTATTATTATTATTATTATTATTTTCCATTTGAGAGGCCACTATGCAATGTGATTGCAAACAAAAACAGGGGAGAGAGAAAGAGAGGGACTGCTGGAATAAACAACCACAAAAGAGGTTCCCACAGAACTAGACAAATGTTGAATTGCGATTGGTTTTTAAAAATATGTACAACTCCATTGCTTAGGTCTGAAGGAAATGGATCTAGCAAAGGCATTGGTCTTCTGGATTCCACCCATCCCTACTGTTGGCGTTTGACTTGCCAAAAGAGTGGAGAAAGAAGCTTTATTGAAGGATGCAGCGCATTCTTATAGGCCTCTTCCATCTAGCCATGATCTGTTTAGCTGCAAATTCCCCATGAGGGATCAGCGCTGAGCTGCTAATCGCCTTAGAGATTGAGAAGCTGATGTGATACAAACTGGAGGAAGGGGAACAGAACCAGGGAACTGCAGGACTCCCAGTGACCCCAACTGGAGTCTGCTCATAAGCATCCACAACACACAACCGTGTACAGGGCCTTCCTACATCACCACCACCTTGCAATCCCCATAAATGACGACGAAAGGAGGATTTCAGTAGGAAAAGAACCCAGAAGTTCTGAGACTTTTTTGGAATCCAGATCCAGATCCATCGTGCATAGTATCTAAGGCATGGGTCAGCAAACTAAGGACCGCGGGCCGGATCAGGCCCAATTGCCCTCTGGATCCAGCCTGCAGATGGTCCTGGAATCGCGGCTTGGATCAGCGTGATCTTTCAGGCTGCGTCAAATTTTTTTGCAATTTTTTTTGGACCGCCATTCCCCCCACACATACCACAGTGGTGCCTCCTTCCTCCCTCCCTCCTCTTGGCTTCTCTCCGCCCTGCAGAGGAAGGGAGCTGGGCTTTGATTGGCACCAGCCAATCTGAAGCCTCGCTGCCCACGCACTGAGGCAAGGCCCAGACTCGCCATCCACCCACTGGCCTCTCCATCCATAGCTGCACTGTGGGCATCGTGACGGGTGCATTGTGGGGCTTCGGCTGGAGCTTGGCGCACCTGCTGGCCCCACACCTGGCGCCCAGGAAAGCTGGCTTAGATAGGAGAGGCGGCGCCGCCACTGCCGGCTCCCAACCGCAGGCAGAGCAGTGGAGGAGGTAGGACAGCAGGGGAAGGGCAGGGGCTGGGGGAGAGAGGGAGAGAGAGAGAGGCCCCCCTCCGCCACATGCGTGTGTGCACGCGCACACACACGCATGCGCAGTCTGGTCCACCACAAGGTCTGAGGGGTGGTGAACCAGCCCCCTCCTTAAAAAGTTTGCTGACTCCTGATACAGTGGTGCCCCGCAAGACGGATGCCTCGCAAGACGGAAAACCCGCTAGACGAAAGGGTTTTCCGTTTTTTAGTTGCTTCGCAGGACTAATTTCCCTATGGGCTTGCTTCGCAAGACGAAAATGTCTTGCGAGTCTTGAGATTTTTTTTTCGCTTTTCCCCCCTTTATCTAAGCCGCTAAGCCTTTAATAGCATTTTAGCAGCTAATCCGATAAGCCAATAAGCCTTTAATAGCCGCTAAACCGCTAATAGCGCTAATCCGTTAAGCCGCTAATAGGGTTGCTTCGCAAGACGAAAAAACCGCTAGACGAAGACTCTCGCGGAACGGATTAATTTCGTCTTGCGAGGCACCACTGTATAGGGAGCCAGTTAATGGCAGGCAAGCTCATCTAAACTTCTTGCTTATCCAATCTAACTGAATTTCAAGCCCAATCCTGCGGGTAGTAAAAAGTAAATTTGGCTCAACTGTGCTCTGTGTTTTTGTTAAATCCAGCCTCCACACGAAGGCTTTTTTGGATTTAGAATTTGCTGTGTTTACTACTACGTCCTCATGATTCCTTCTCAGCCTTTGTACAGATTTTTTTTTTTACAAAGGTATTTGTTTTCAGATAGTGCCCACTCCAGATGTGACAATGCACAAGCTAAAATATTTGTAACCCATCATTCCTCATGATTGCCATTTCCCTTGGCAAAAATTGACGCCAACTGTTTGGGATAGTTATCAGCCAAAGCAGATTTGCCATTTTCATTGCAATACGATTTTCCAAACTGTTGTGCATTGCACATAACCTTG